TCTTGATTATCGGCCGTATGAAACGAAACGCAACCTTTTACATGACTCAGGGGCCCCTGAACATCAAACGGCGATGGTACATGGCAATCGAACAGCAACGCTGCAAACAATACTTCACGTCTGTGCTAATCTGCATACACACTGGCAAGAATAAATACTACACAAATTCGGTAGAACAAAGGTGATAACGACACCTGGTTGGCTGCCGGTCGCCTGGGGGAGGGGGTGTTTATTAATGGAGGCCAGTGGTACAGTAATAAACCCCTCCCCGAAGGGGAAGACGCCGGATTGGAAGAGGAGACGCTCTTAACCATTCACGCCCAGAGGGCTGGTGGGGTTTTTGAAGGCTACCAGAGGTGGTCCTCGCCCAACCTTGGCCTCCAACGGCTCGCACCAATCATTAGTGTTTTTTGTTGTTGCTTTCGGCCTCCAGGCGACCTTTTCGGGCTCCATTGGCAGCGGAACAGCAGCTCAGGATGGACTGCTGGTCCCAGGGAGTGGGTCGTGACCTCGGGGGTCCGTGTCGTGCAGAATGCACGAGATCGGAGGTCTGTGGAGGCGGGCCTGACCAGGGGTGCGTGCCTCTCGGCCTCTCGAGCCTCTTCATGGGGGCCCTTGGCCCCCTGGGCCCGGCGAGGGGCAGTCCGGAGGCCACCTGTGCTTGTGGGAGGGGGAGGAGGAGGAGGAGAAGGAGGAGGAGGAGGAGGCGGAGGAGGGGAGGAGGAGGAGGGGGAGGGGGAGGAGGAGGAGGAGGAGGAGGAGGAGGAGGAGGAGGAGGGGAGGAGGAGGAGGAGGAGGAGGAGGACGACGACGAGGAGGAGGAGGAGGATGATAAAGGAGGAGGAGGAGGAGGAGGAGGAGGAGGAGGAGGAGGAGGAGTGTAAGGAGGAGGAGGAGGAGGAGGAGGAGGAGGAGGAGGAGGAGGAGGAGGAGGAGAGAGGATGAGGAGGGAGGAAGTAGGAAGTTGGATGAAGGGTTAAGGAGGACTGACCAATGCATAAGGTGGACGGAGGACTGAGGAGTTGGAGGAGGAAGATGAAGAGGAGCAGGGGGAAGGCGAACCATAACTTTAAGATGAGCAGTTATATTATTAGCAGCAGGAATATCACGAACCGTACTACTACTTTCACTACTACTAGTAGTGGCATCATGGCAATACGACAAACATTCATAATACTGTTCAGTCTCATAATACGGATACCCGCAGTAATACTGCTAGCATGACGACGAAGGCGACGGACACTAACACTACTAAGAGGAATATTCGGACTACGGATAATATTAGCCACACCACCAAGAATAGTGATACGGATGTGAACTCCAATATTGATAATATCCCAAATACGAAGAAGACGAGTAAGAAGACGCATGTTAATACAGGGAATTGGGAAACGGACGACGAGTACGACGCAGGCGAAGAAGAGAAGGAGGGGAAGGAGAAAGGGGGAGTTCGCTACAATCAATAGCACTTGCAGGGGGGAGGAAGGAGGAGGCGAAGGAGGAGGAGGATGACGCTACACGAACAGCACGTAAAGCTTGCCGAGCGTAAGATGATGAGGAGGAGAAGGAGAACGCTTCAAGCACAGCACTTAAAGCGTTTCTAACGTAAAAGGGGGAGGAATCTTAGGAGGCGACGGCGGAGGAGGCGGAGGAGGAGGAGGGGGAGGAGGAAAACGCTACAAACATAGCGCTTGAAGTTCTGACGAACGTACGAGGAGGAGGAGAAGGAGGAGGCGGGTGAGGAGGATGAGGATATCGCTACAAGCATAGCACTTGCAGTCTGCCTAACGTAAGGGGGGGGGAGGAGGAGGAGGAGGAGGAGGAGGAGGAGGACGAGGACGAGGACGAGGAGGACGAGGAGGACGTTACAGGCATAGCACTTGAACGTAAGGGGAGGAGGAGGAAGGGGAGGAGGAGGAGGAGGTGTTCGCTACAAGCATAGCACCTGACGTTTACCTAAAGTAACAGGAGTAGGAGGAGGACCAGAGTAAGCGTGATGCATCGACGCCATTGCTTGCAAACCAGTCCTCATGATTTCTTACGAGCCTTCCTTTTCTCTGCGAGAAGACGCTCCCCCTTGAAAGACCAGTGCCCCACGGGCTTGCCGTTCAGGTGAGAGCGCCGTTGTGAAGAAGACAGGCCTTGCACAGTAGTAGCGAGTAATCTGGAGATGCCAGAAGGTATCGTCATAAGATACTTGACCACCCTTCGGGTGATACGGAGGTTCGGGCGGGGGGGAAGACTAACGGATCACTCAATCGATCTTGCTACCGATCTCACGATCGATCTCGCTACATCGATCGTTGTCTCAAACACACTATCGATCTTGCTATCCTTGTCAGCACCGAACCAATTTTCGATCTCACTATCGATCTCACCATCGATCTCACTGCCAAGCCCACTATCGATCTCACGATCGATCCCATGATAGTATCACTATCGATGTCACGATCGATCTCGCTATCAATCTCACTCGATCGGTCCCACTATCCTTCTCACTACCAATATCACGGTCGATCTCACTATCGATCTTACTTTCGACCTCATTACTGATGGCTTTATCGATCCCACCATCTCACAATCGATGTGTCGATCGATACTACAATCGATATCACGTTCGATCCTTCTCAATATCGATACCACTATCGACTATCGACATTATTCATTTTCTCGCTATTTATATCACGGTTGATCTCACGATCGATCTCACAATCGATTTTACCATGTGTTACACTATCGATTTCACGATCGTCTTCATTACGGGTGACCGACGGGGCAGTGGCGGGACACCCGCGGGACACCCCCAGCCACCGCCAGCCAACCTGGGGGGTGTTTTGGTCCAGCGTCGCATTAGCCAGAGGAGGGTTCATTCCTCTCGCCTGCCCGCGCAGCTTCGCCTCACCCGCACGCACGCACACCACGAACAGGAGGAAACCGAAGTCCATTTCCCTGTGGAGGGCTCTCCGTTTCATTGCGACCTCACCCCCCTGCCTCCGACAGATCAACGAGGTGTCCCGCGATATCCCCGTTTTGGAAAAAAAGAAACCGCGCCCCACCTGTGAAACCGTTGCACAGGTTTGCACCGATAGTCGCAAGCTTCGAGGGGGTTCAAATCTGAAAATGAACTGCCCTCCATTGTATTGCGAAGGTCCGGTGCCGCCGACCCTGAAGGGGGACGACAACGACAGGGACGATGAACATTCTCGAAAAGCTAAAGAATAGGAGGGAGGAGGAGGAGAGGGGGACGGATGAGGTGAAGGGGAAGGGGGAAAGGAGTGAGGAGGGATGATACGTAGGAGGAGGAGGGGTGAAGAGCTGGATGGCCGAGGAGTCCGCCATCCACCAGGATGGAGGCGGTGTGTCGCCACCAAGACAAAGGGCAGCGCGGCAACCACTTTACCGTGTATACTCTGTCGGGCTGCCGACGACGACGACGACGACGCTGACGTGGGTCTGAGTCCTCAGGGATGCTTCGTGGGGTCTGGTCGAAGCGCTCTTGGGGGCCTCGGGGACAGTGTAGGGGTCTCTTGGGAGCCTCTTGGGGGCCTGTTGCTCCTGGGAGCACGCGGGGCGGAGGGTTCGACATGTCCGTTTTGGTCCGTCGTTTCGGCACCGTTTCGGCACCGTCTTGCGGTTCTTGTGGCCCTTTCTGGAGGCCTCTTCGGCCGTTCTGGGTCGCTCGTGGAGCCCTCTGTGGTTGCCTGGGAGCGATCTGGGAGGCCGCTTGTGCCGTCTTGGAGCGTCGGCAAGCGGAAGAAGCGAGAACGCCGAACTGATTCAAAAAGCAATGGGAAATCTACAATGTTTGTTCCGGAGGCGCTCTTTTGGACTGTTCCTGGAGGCCATTTTGAGCGTCTCGCAGGGTTCTTGGGCCGTCTGGAGGCCGTCCAGGCGTCTTGGACAGATCGTTCGGCGATTTGGAGCCCTCGTGGATTGTCATGCACTTTTGGCCCGTCTTGCGTTTTTTTGCGGCCCGGGAGCCCCCGGAGGGGAACTGAACCGGGACCGGACCCGGGACCCCCTTCCGCCCAGGCGGGGGAGGGATCAAAGGGAAGGGGCTTCCCTTCGAGTGTATGACGACGTTGCTCAATTTCGTTTTGGCTGACGCGCGCGAGGAGGACCCAGGAAAATAGAGATGAGCGGCGACGCGGGCACAGGGAAAGGAAAGCGCAGGGAAAGAGGACGACAGAGACGGCAATGAACGAATGACGGCGACGACGACTCGAACGGAAAAGCCCCTCACACACGCCGACAGGGTCGGCGGATTTCAGTTTCTGGCCGTGCAATTTGAGGAAGACTGAAGCAATGCCCCCGTTTTGAAAGGAACCGGAAGATGACTGCGCCGGCACTAAGGCAAGAGACCCACTTTGCTATGGGGCCGCTTTCCGTCCTTGCCAACATTGCAGAGTTTTCAGCTGAGTGTGCGTGGCGCTGAGGCGAGGTAAAGCGGACTGTGCCCGATCCGACGCACCTCCAGGTCCGAGCCGATCTCCAGACTCCATGCCGACTGATCCGGCAATCCTCTCATCCAGCCCCCGGGCCTCGAGTCTGCCCCCCCCCCATCTAGCCTCATGCAGGGGGATCGGGTATCTGGCCTTCTCCACGGCCACCCTCGCGGGCGGCGAAGATAGCCACGCCTCGCAGCTTCAGGTAGGACGGCTGCCCTGCCAAGCGGGGGCCAGCGCGGGGGCGCGAAGGCGGCCCTGGCTTGCGCAGCATGGAGCGCGAGGCTGGCCGACCTGCGCAATTACGGCCACGTCGCCACGTCGCATGGCAAGGATGAGCAGCTTCCCAAGGCTACCCTTGCATCCCTGCCCCTTCGGCCCACCCTTGGCGACTTTTTGCTGGCCAGCCCCGCTCGGGCCCTCCAAGGCCCTTGCGTCCTTGCCGCGCATCCCTATCAACTGTGCGACTCGACAGCACCTGGCCTCCCTCCGGCTCCCCCGCTTCATCGCCTCGGCGCTGGGCTGGGTGCTGACCAACTGCGGCGGCGTCTTCGGCTAGCCCTCGAGGCCCACGCCGTCACACCGCGGGCCCCAGGGAAGAGGGCTCGACCAGCTCGTCCTCGCTGCTACCTGCATGCCGAGAGCGTGAGCGCATGGGGGCCGGGACGCTCGTTTTTTGGAGCCCCCCCCCGCGAGGCGCGCCCCCGACGGGCGAGGGTGGGGCCCGCGCGCTGCGACGGGAACGCTGCAGATTCCTCAGGAGCGAAAGAAGGACGTACATGTACATGAATCCATGCTGGTTTCGAGAGTACGCATTGCACAAATGTTCGTATAACGCGGCCAGTCTCGCGGATCGAGGGGCCGTGTTCATGTACATAGCTGGGCGCGTACGTCCTTTGTGGGCTCCCGAATTCCGTGACCCGCGCTGCCAGGTGGACAGGTCAGCATGGCATATGCTCCCCAATCAGTGCTTGCACTGAAGGGGTCCTCGCGGAAAGTCGCAGATTTGGCGAAGGTCTCCCGCCGCTTTTGGTAGCCGGCCGGGTTCCCGGGTTCCCAGTTCCGGGTTCCCGGGTTTTTGGTCATTGGTTCCGGGCCGATTTCGGTGGGTTCAGGGTTTCCGGGTTCCCGGTCGATCTCCTTATCGATCGCTTTATCGATCCCACGATTCATCAAACCATCCTTTGATTGGGTTTTTTCTCTTGTGTAAATTGTTTTTGTTTCCGCCTGAGCGGCCCCTGCTCCTTCTCTCTGCCTTCGGCCGCCCTCCCCATCTCGCTCCATTCTCCTGCATCGTGGCGCAATTCGCTCCGGCGGCATCCCCGTTGTACTGCTCTGCCGCCAGCGCAGATGCTCTGCCTGGCCGCCGACGCAGGATAGAGCTTCCGAAAGGCCATCTGGAGAGCTTCTGTGCCGGGCCGATGGATGAAACACATTTTATTGACGCTTCGCGAATCCCCACCAGCCCTTTTTCTTGACGGCGCGCAGTTGCTCTGTGTCGCTCGCGAAGAAGAAAGAATCCACACCAGCCCATCCAGAAACGATACCAATCAGAGTTGACGGGGGGAGGGAGGAAGAGACACGCATAATTAATCAGTCAAGCAGCGATGGAGACTGGGAGGCCTCCGTAGCAATCTCGAGCCGTCTTGGAACATCTTGGGAGACATCTTTAGCCAGCTTGGGCTATCTGAGCCATCTTGTACTGGGTCCGGCTTGAATGAGGAGCACCTACTTTTCGTAAAGGGGCTCGGTCGTTCCTCTGGTTTGCCTGCGTTCCGTGGCCGCTTTTTGCGGCGAGCCCCCCTTGGTGCTCCTTCGGACTTCCTAGACTCGCTTGGAAAAAAAGGGGGCTCCGTTCCGCATATTGGTCGTTCCTTTAGGTCAAGCCGAATGCCGTGGGCAATCTCGGGCGGGTGGGACTCGGCCTCGGGCGCCGCAGAGCGCACCACGGCGGGCGAGTGGGCGCCTGCGGGCAGCCTCGGCGCCCCCCCCCCCCCCCCCCGGGGGGCCGCCCTCGGGCCCCGGGGGGCGGCGCCGTGCCTGCCCGCGCAGCACCGCCGCTGAAGGCCCTTGCTCAGAGCCCCGAATCATCAGGGGTAACTCGGGTCAGGGCTAACTCGGGTTCGTTTTTCGGGAATCCAAACCCGAGTTACCCCGGACCCGAGTTACCCCGGATACTTCGGGCGTCCAGAGCCCCGAATCATCAGGGGTAACTCCGGTCAGGGATAACTCGGGTTCGTTTTTCGGGAATCCAAACCCGAGTTACCCCGGACCCGAGTTACCCCGGATAACTCGGGTGCCCAACTTGCCGAGCGCGCGCGCGCGCGCTCCCCCCCCACCCAAGCTTACGTCGGGCCTGTCCCTCTACGGGAGGGACACTCAAACAATAGTCTGGGGACGATTTTTGGAGCGTTTTTGGATACCGGTTTGCGCATCTTTCCTTTTTCGTCCGAAGCCCGCCTGTAGGGGGACGCGCCCGACCTAGCCCCAAGCGAATCCTGCATGTCGACTCGATCGATCCGATATCGATTTCGGCATTCCCGATCCGATTGGATCCAGGCATTCCGGTGTTCCGAGGAGCCGAGCGCGCGCTCGCCGCTGACCCCAGCCCCGAGGGTCCTCGATTTCGACCCGATCGGTCGGATTCGATGTCGATTTCGGCCTTCGATCTGATTGGATTCGGGCATGGCGATGCTCTGGCGAGCTTACGCGGCCCGAGATGCTCGCCTTGGGCGCCGTTCTGTGCGTCCTGGCGCGGCGGATTTGATCCGATTCCGGCTCCGTGCCGATGCGGCCCGATCCGACGCACATCTCCGGTCCGACCCGATGTCCCGATTCGATGCCGACCGATCCTGCCCGTCTGCTACCGGGTGCGAACCCTACCCCTGCTGGGTTCGAGGTTAGACCCAGGGCTAGAGCTAAGCGGTGTTTCGGCGATTCCGTGGACCGCTTTCGTGTTGGCTTCGCTGTGCAGCACAGGAGAAACGAAAGCAAAACGGGGGAACACGAAGTCAAAACGCAAGCGCTGCTCAGGTCGAGCCCTGGTTCGACCGCGAGGGCCGAGTGCCCGGGGCCGCCTCTGCCTCCTCCCCGGGCCTCGGAGGCCTCTCTCGCAGACTCTCGGGGGCCTCGCCCGCTGTGGCGCCAACCTGGGGGGTGGGGCCCAGACCCCGACGTCCGCCGGCATGATGTTTGTCAATCCGCGGCCCTGAACCTTCCTACTTCATGGATTCTTCCTACTACCGCGGCCCTGGACCTTCCTATTTCTTGTCCAACATTCAACACTTTCCTTCTTCATGGTTCTACCTTCGATGGGTATACACATACGTACCCAGGTGAGGCGCAAGGTCGCCACAGTGGAGCATGTGATTCATCCGCGGCCCTGGACCCAGACATGCTCGCGTCTCGGACAACAAAACAGACATGCTCGCGTCTTGAAAAGCATCAGAATCGGAGGTCTTTGGCCGCTGTGGGCCTCTGAGGGGCCCTCCCCTGGGCCCCGTGGCAGTGAAGACACGACTCAGGATGGAAAGCCGGTCCCGGGGACTCTGTCGAAGCAGAGGAGGGGGTGGAGGAGGAGGAGGAGGAGGAAGAGGAGGGTCTGCATTTCCAAGGACCCCGTGTTGAAAAAATCAGGCCACCGCATGTCTGGGGAGGGGCAGGCTGCCTCCCCAGGGGCAGCTTTTCCTTCCTGGGCCATCTTTGATGGTCCCGGGGCCCGAAGACGGCCCACGAGGGCTGAAGTCGAGGAGCCGGTCTGGAAGTTGATATAGTTATATAACCCGCATGGAGAAGATTTGGCACCACACGTTCTACAAAGAGTTCCGCGTGGTTCTGGATGAACATCCCGTGCTCCTCACCGAGGCGGCCCTGAACCCCAAGGCGAATCGCGTGCGTATGACCCAGATCATGTTCGAGGCTTTCAACGTGCCCGCAATGTACGTTGCCATCCAGGAATCCAGGCAGTGTTTTCGCTGTGCGCCCCCAGCCGTGCCACTGGCATCAAGATGGATTCTGGCGAAGATGTGTCGCACACGGTGCCCATCTACGAGGGCTGCGCCTTGCCGCACACCATTTTGCGCCTCGACCTCGCCGTCCGCGACCTCACGGAGTACCTGATGAAGATCCTTGTTGAGCGCGGCTACTCTTTCACGACCACATCTGAGCGCGAGATCGTGCGCGACCTCACGGAAAAGTTCTGCTATTTTGCCCTCGATGCCGACACGGAGATGAAGGTTGCCACCGAAGTTTCGGACACGGAAAAGACATACGAGTTTCCGGACGTCAGCATCATCACCGTGGGCAGCGAGCGTTTCCGCTGCCCCGAGGTGCTATTCCAGCCCAGCTTGGACGGCAATGAAGCCAGCGGCATCCACGACACCACCATCCAGTTCATCATGCAAGGGGCTGTCCACCCTGGCGCCACCGACGATGAAAATCAAGGTCGTGGCCGCGCCCGTGCGCATGCATTCGTGTGGGTCGGCGGGTCCATCTTTCCAGCATATGTGAATTTCGAAGGGCGAGTACGGCGAGCCTGTGCGTGTCATATCGCCTCCTAGCCTGATAAGTTTTCGAGAGAAGATGTTTTGCTGCGCTCCGCAGCCCCTCGCGAGGCTCGAAAAAAGGTTGCAACATTGAATCGAATAGCTTCCGCAGAGGCCGCCGCCCGTTTTGGGCTCTCGGATGGTAGCGCGGAGCTCGGGCGGCGCACGATCCACGGCAACAGCGTCAGCGAAGGTTGGCGAGAACGAGGGCTTCGAGCTGATTAGCGTCAGCGGCGGCAGAGGCGGAGGCCCAGTGCAACTGGAGGCGGACTACGGTTCATCTGATCTCGCACGGCAAGATCAGAGGCTATTGGTCGGAGATGGACAGGTGGCTGCGCGCGATAAGAAGCGGGGCCAGCTCGCGACCCTGGACATCGAAGATGGCGACGCAAGAGGGGATCGTCAGAAGGCTAGAGGTGCGTGAGCAGGCGAACGTGGAGCTGGTCCAGGAGGCGCGACGCCAACGGGATCGAGCGGAATAACTTCAAGAGGAAGCCGCGCGCGCCGTTGAGGGGGTCGCGGCAGCAGGAGCAGCGGCGGGAGCGGCCGCTGCAGCGACGGCGGAGGTCGACGCAGCGCCGTTCGACGCGAAGATCACGAAGAGCCCCGACAGGTTCGACGGCAAGCAGGAGTCCTGGTCAGACTGGTGCTTCTTGTTTCGCAGCTACGTCGCATCCCAGGACGAGCGAACCATCGAGCCGATGGACAAGAGTACGACCATGGACGACTAAGGGGTCATGGGCAGGTCGTTCGACGACGAGAAGGCTGGAGATGAGAGGCGCTCGAGGATGCTGCTCCACTTGCTGACGGTGAGCATGGCGATGAAGTCTCGCGGGTTCAAGCTGATCAAGAACGCGGAGAGCTCTAACGGCTTCGAGGCTTGGAGGCAGTTGATCATGGAGCGCGAGCCCAGGGTCAGAGGGCGCCAAGGTGCGCTGGTCAACCAGTTGCTGAACACAACGTTCAAGGCTGGAGTCGGCCACCGAGAAGCCATCGAGACGCGGGGGCGCGAGGTCA